AGGGAGGCAGGCGGCCCGGCCTCCCGCTGGGCCCGGGAAGGAATTCGTGGAGCCGCATCCCGCCACGATGGGACCCCAGCCCCAGTTTCCTGATCTGTAGAATGGGAAGACCCCTGCCCGCTTCCCAGCAGACCCGCAGGCTTCCCCACCAGGAAGTTCGCGGCGCTGCAGGGGAGGTGCGGTCGGGGGAGCCCAGGGGAGAGCAAGACTGACCTTCCGTGCAGGGCCTTGTGGGGGCACCTCTTCTGCATTTCCCAAGACCCCCCACAACCTCTTGCTCGCCAGGAAAGACCTTCCAACGAATACTGGTTACATAAAGTTTCCTCTTCTGTGACGGGGATTCAACGGGAGAAGGGGCACAAGCATTTCAGCGACACGTTTTCCCTTTGGGTTTCAGGACTAAGTGTGGCTTTTCTAGGGTTCTGTTTGAGATGAGAAACTCAATACCAGGATGTTGGGGTCAAAAGACCCCACTGCTTTTAACGGCCACTCTTCCAGATTCCACTTCCAGCTCAGCCACTGTGGCTGCTTCACCAGGTTATTGAATGTCTATCAGCCTCAGTTTTCTCAGCTGTCAAATGGGAGCAACACCGGCGATGACAGGGTCAGGTGCTCAGAATGAATCTCCAACTTCCACGGTCCTCGAGGCCACCTTGTCATCTGTCAGGAAATCCTTCTCATAATTTTAGACACCCTCCCCCTCCAGCTGAAGGCCATATTTCTGTTCTGTCCAGGTGGAGTACATACAGCGCGTCACCCCTTGTCCATCAGTGGCAGTGCCCTTGCAGCAGGGAAGCCACTGCCAAGTTCCTTAGCCTGACCTTCACACGGGCCTCTTCTATGGCGTCAGGGTCCTCCCCAAAGCCTGTGGATTGTGGGCGGGGGTGGACAAGTGCCGAGAGAGTTGTGAGGGCCGGACTCAGAGATTTCCCCCCAATGTGTGAAAGGAGTTACTTGCAAACTAGGAGGATCAGAATGCTCACTGAAAACGATCTCCATGCCGGAGTGACTTATCACTCCAAAGACACAAGAAGGTTTGGAGCAGGAATCATCACCTCCATTTTGCCAGGAAGAAAGCAGATGACCTGGTGCTCAGATCCCCAATCTGTCCTTAGCGGGATCATCTATCTTCCCTTTCTGGGGGCCAACGTTGCAGGAGCTGGGGCCACCCAGGCCGGCCTCCATGTCCGCGGAGTCCGCGGGAAATGGCTGCAGCTCCTGCTGCCGCCTGGTTCTCCTGCAGTGAGATGCACATGGTCATCACTGGCTTGAAAGGCCAGTTGGCTCTTGAGAAACAAACTGAAGTCTTCCCCTCCCTTCCTGTTGGAAACTTTGGTCTCAGCTGCAGAACGGGTACCTGGGAAACACATTTCAAGTCCCGGCTCAGGGAGTCCAACTGCTGCTGGAGACCAGCCAGGGCCACTCTCGGGGCAGTCAAGTCTGGGGGGCCCTGCTCTGAGAGTGGGCCTGCCCGGGCCCTCTCGATGGTGGCCGCTGGCATCAGGGGTGCCCACCCCTGTGCCCATGGAAAGAATGCTGATGACCGAACCAGCCCACAGCCACCCCGAGGCGACCAGGCTCCCGCAGCTGTGACTGAGCAGGACTGTGGGATTCTTGGAAGGACTGCATCTGTCTGGGAACTGGCATGACTCAGTGCCCAGGGGCACAGGGTGGAACCCAGGGCCCCAGGTCCCTCCGGGCCGCTGGGCCTGCATCTCAGATCCACATGTGCGCTTCAGCTCCTGTGAGCTTCGGTTCTCCCAGTCCCACTGGCCTGCTTGCCATTCCCAGAACCCACCCTGCTCCTTCCAGCCCCCGGGACTTGGTTCCAGGCGTTTGTTTCGGCTGGGGATGTCTGTCCTTGCCCCATCTGTCCACATCATTCTTCCAGTCCCTGCCCGCATATGCCAGCTCCACCAGGGCTCTGTGTGTGCCTGCCCCCCTCCCCCTCCCCGTTTTGTCACCGCTCAGGGTGTGCCCGGGGTGGTGTCCCTGGCCGGGGTGCAGAGGCAGGAAGGGCGAGGCCCCGCGG